TTTTGCTTAACCGGGTCACCCGATTTTTTCGGTTCGGTTCGGTTACCCGATTATTGTCTAACCGGGTCATATCATTAGTCTACACTAGAACACACCGTTACACCAGATCTTACAGTTTAATTGGGGCGTGACTACAATTTTTTTTTAAATGATAACGATAAGCGAGATCAATTTTTGTTAATCGCTAAATTTATTTTTAAAGCTTTTAATTATGAAACACTTTAATAGTATAATTTTTAATCAGCTTAGCCGGCCAAGTCGGATAAAATTTTGTAGATTTGGTCGGTTAGAAGTTTTAACCGGCTGCCAACATTACATGCTTTTTCAGCGATCATTTCATGGATCAGGCATTAAATTTTATACCTTCTTTTTATCTTTCAATTACAATTTATTGAGTATGCTAATTATATATTTTAATTTTTAAATTATTAGCACTTCGAAGGCAAGAAAATAAAGATTATTACGATATTCTTGGTATATCAAAAAATGCTTCCCAATCTGATATAAAAAAGGCCTATTATTCTGTATGTAATGATATTAAATCATTAAATATCAAATATTTTTTTATCAAAATTAAATATTAATTTTTTAATTTATATAGCTTGCAAAAAAATATCATCCTGATACAAATAAAGAACCTATTGCGAAAGAAAAGTTTGTACAAATTCAGGAAGCATATGATGTATGATATTTTCCTTAATAGGTCCAAACTTTGGTAAAGAATTTAAATTACAAAATTTGGACAACTGTTATAGACATTAGGTGATGAGGAAAAGCGTGCAGAGTATGACAAATGGGGGGGTTCATTCAAAGGTTGGTTGGTTGGTTGACACATTAGAAAATTATACAAAATGTAGTTGTACACTAAAAAAATGTCAAAATTCCATTAAATATACCACCAGGTGCGAATTTTAATGGATTCGCTGGAGACTTTAGGTTTGGAAATCCAATGCATATTTTCGACCATATTTTTGGAGGGGGTGCTGCGTGGTCAGCTAGGGAACCATTTGCTCAAGGAACAGACATTGAGGTATGGCATACAACTATTTACTCAATATTATTAACTTTTACTTACATGCATTTTTTTATTTGTAAATAGGTGGCTTTAAATATTCCATTCATGGATGCTGCAAAAGGTGCTACGAAAAGTATTTTTTATGAGGCTGTTTCTACATGTAAATCTTGTCAAGGTCGTGGGGCTAAATCTGGAAAAAAGCGAGATGTTTGTCACTCATGTAAAGGTACAGGTGTACGGTCTTTATCTGTTGCATCAGGTTTTCGTATGCAAGTTACATGTGATGAATGTGGTGGTAAAGGAACAAGAATATTACCTGAAAACAGATGCCCTACCTGTGGAGGTAAAGGGCAAGTAAAGGAGCGAAAAACAGAATCAGTTGATATTCCAGCTGGTATTTATGTGTTAAGCTTATTTGGTTTTGAATAGTTGGAAAGTTGATAATAATTTTATTTTAAATTATTAGGTGCGGAAGACGGAATGAGAATACGAATCCCAAAAAAGGGGGATGCTCCATTTGGAAGTGAAGGCCTACCTGGCGACTTAATTGTTCATCTACGTGTGACACCCCATAAGACATTTAAACAACAAAGTTCCAATATTTTTGTTGAAGCACAGGTCCCATTTCATACGGCTATATTGGGTGGCTCTATTCGAGTACCTACAATAGATGGAGATGTAGAATTAAATGTCCCGTCTGGCTCGCAACCGAATCAACAAATGGTTATGAAAGCACGAGGACTTCGAAAAATTGGATCTAACTATCGTGGTGATCAAATCGTGGTATTAAAAGTACCACTACCAAAGTAGGTTTTTTTTTTTTCTTTGTATTTAATTTATGTGTACAAAATAATTTCTCATTCATTTTTATATATATTAGGAGTTTAACTCCTAGACAACGTGAATTGATTGAAGAATTTGCCAAAATTGGATCGTCTTCAAAATAATGATTGGATAATCGGATATTTGGATAGACATTCTCATTCATATTTCTTATTCTTTAATCTGGATCTATAAATAGATGCTATTCGATTATCCGATTTAATATGGTTTATATTTACGTTTCATTAATTATTATGAAATTTTTGGTTTAATAAACGAAGAAACTAGGTTTTGCCAAAGCGAAATGTTTAAACTAATTTATAAGTGTTATATGGATATGTATTTTTTGGAATATGAAACGTTTCGCTTGAACAAAATAAGGTTCAGGCAAGTCATATGTCCGCTGTTTTTTTTTACCGGACATCTGACATTTCCAAATTGCCCTATACGTAGGGATGTGTTACATAAATTACAATTTTACATTACATGTAATTTTACTTAAGTTTCAGAAAACCAAATTTCATGTAATTTTACATAAAATACCGGGTTTACAAAAAGTTTTGCCAACATTATTGCATCATTTTATTTGAATGTACAATCCGAATTGTAACTCATAAATCGCCGAAATTTGATCTCAGAAACTAACTGTCGTGTTCAAAATTACGATTACATCATGCGGGCGAAAATTTTTGATGGGAATGTTGTGATTACTAAAATTAAGTGATATACATAATGATTTATATAATAAT